TTTTTGCAATTTTAGGTGAATTTCCCCTGAAACCTACAATTCTGTACAGTTAATAGAGGGAAAATCTCTGTAATTTGGTTCAACCAAATCCAGTAGTATTAGGGAGTAAGAAGGATCCTTGCAGAGAAGTTTAATGTCATTTTAGGTGAATGCCTCTTGCTACCTACAATTCTGTACATGTACAGAGGCAAATTTCTGTAATTTGGTCCAACCAAAATGAGTAGTATTAGAGAGTAACACAGATCCTTGCAAACAAGTGTTATGTCATATAAGGTGAATGTTTCTTGCTATCTACAATTCTACAGGTAACTGAGGGGAAAGTTTTAGGACCCTTTTTTAACTTCTCCCTGCAGCCAACCCCATAACCAATAGAGAATTGGTAGGCAAATGGATACTTTAGTTTTCTAAATGTTAAAGCATGCAGTAAATTGGTTTTCAGCCAGTGTAATGAAATTTAGCCCGTGAAATACTGCTCTTCATGGCAGCCTATCTCAGAAATCTTCATGTGCCATCTATAACCACGGCAAACAGATAAATTGAAGACATTTGAAGGTAATGCTTTTTTAGTATCCAATTTCAGACTGTGAAAAATATAAACTACAAATATGCCATCCATGTAATGGAGTTTGCATGCAAAACATAAAAGTAGATTAAAAGTGCAAACAGAATATAGCTTAATTCTTCATGCTCCCTATTACTATTAATAAATCACAGATTCCATCACCATAGTGATGATGAGATCATTCATTGTTATGGCAACATCTTCTATTTATGCTGAAGCAGTCTGAGGAATTTTTATTGCTACACGTAGCCTGTTTCAAAAGAATCAAAAGCTGTTATTATGCACAATGGAATGCCAGTTGCTCCTGCAATCAGCACAAATACTACCAGGAAGAAGAGACACATTTCAGACATGTGCATGTGGTGAATTTTAATTCCCCGCAATAAGTGGTATATATACACTAAGCATGCGAAACATATCTCTACACACCCTTCACAGAGAAGCTGTATGATACATGACTACAAATCATCCTCTCCAGAAAGCAATCAGCAAAACTGCCTTTTTTTTTTATCAAGGCCATCATTGTAGGGCATTGCCTCAATCATTTAGCAGACATGTTTCAAGTGACCTCTGCTGACCTTCTCCCTCCATCCTAGTTACACCATAACCATAACCATGAATATACCACTTATGGTTCTGTTCACACCATGTAATGTGTTAGGGATTTTGCGAATGGCTACCAGGGCGCTGCACATCAGAGCAGATGGGTTTTTTGGCCACATCCTCACAAAAATCCATCGATTCTGAAGGATGCCACATCCTCAAATCAACTTCCAACTAAATCAAATCACTGGGCATTTAAGGCCTCATGTTCAGACTAGAAAAGTTCCAGTTAGACCCTCACCCCTACTAGCTAGTTATCTTGCTTGAAAGCATTTCGCTGAAACGTATCATATAAGGTTGTGTTTGTGTACATATTAGGAATTGAGATATCATCTAGAGTTTCCAAATGATTTGTCAGGAAATATATTGCGTGCAAAGCACAAAATTCTGTTGCAACATTGGCCAATCATCCAATAGAAACTGTGATGAATTCTAATTGTAACTTCAACTGCTGTATACGTAGGTAAAAAGGTGTTCAATTATTGTTAACTGCCACTGATTATTGGTAAATACAATGTAAAAACAATTCATTGGCCAGGTTGACTGCCCAGAGTCCCGTGTATGCACGTTGCATTCTGGAACAGTGCTGCTTGAGTTATGGTTCAGGAAACACAGAAGGTCTTCTTCTTACTTGAGGGTGTCTGGTGCATTCTTCCAGCGTGGATGTATCCTTCAGAGATGATTCTGGAAACTCTTATTCACATGCAGACAATGTCTAATGCTCTTGAATTTCAAGGTCTAGTGTAACTTGGAGAGTAGCCAGGGAAAGCACTATATCATGTCCCCCAGGTATTATGTAAAAGTAGCTTAAACAAAAACATGTTTTTTTGTGTAGGAGAGTAAAAGAAGAATAGTATACATAAACCCCCCAAAAAGACCCACCCCTCTGTTAAATGTTAGTGTGCAGGGCCTTAGGTTTCATACATTGTAGCATTGCAGTGAAATTACACATGTTGCCAAAAAATACATGTCATGAGAGCAAATTGCCTCTCATTCCAACCTAATGATTAATTCATTCCAGCTGCCTCCCTGTGTTAACACCAATTTGGAGAATTAGTGACATGAAAATCTAATCCCACTTGAGTGTATCAGAATGTCTGGAAGCCATTACGCTCCGTCAATTTTTCAATGTCAAATCTATTTTTCCTGGAACTGACTCAGTCTTTGTCGATTGAGACATGTGATTGCAGTCTCCAGGGTTTTGTGGATTTTCTCGTTAAACTCTTAAGTGGAAGGAGAGTTGAGTTGAGTTTGAGTTAAAATGTCACTAAAGACTTTGTGGATCATGCTGATCTTTTTACTATCCTGTTTACGATCACATCTGTGACAGTTCAAACAGTAGTCAGGATGCAGTTTGATCAAAGCTAATGCATTTAAATGTCATTCTACATCTAATATGAATGCCATATCTTGTAATTACTGCATTGGAAGGGCAAAGTCAACAATTAATAATTTTGAAGCAAATCAAGGCTACTACATTGACTGTTTGTTAATTCAACCCTGAAGTGGATCCAAAAACAGTAATAACATATTATCATGCACATTAGGATATGTATGATATAACATCATTAGATTATGGAAGAAACAATAAGCACAAAGTCTTTTCAAGTCAATTTTAAGTCAATCTTAATTTACAATAATTGTACTTAGAAGTGCACCATCATAAAAGACTTGGCATCTTCCCCAGCTCTGGGTTTATGAAGTACAGTTTTGATAAATGAGCAGTCCTTTTATGATGCATCTGTTATCATTGAACAATTGTGAGCTGGCATTTTGAGTAGTAACAGTCCCGTCGGAAATCTAACCTGAGAGTGGGTGGGTGGTTGTGTAACAATGGAAAAATTCCCCCAAGATGTCATAAAAGTACAGTAAATCTAGTTAAGGAGTCTAGCCAAGAACTCTTAGGTCTTACTGACTAGTCCTTTGGCAGAAAACAATTTTGGCAGAAAACAAGAAATCTTTCACTTTCTGTTGATACATAACTAAACAGGAAACATGACGTAAAGCTTGCCACATATTCTTACCACAGATGCAAAATCTGACTTTAGAAATAGACACAATCAAACCTAATAACAAGGTTGAGATCTACTAGAAAATTGAGCTTATTAATCTCCTCAAAAGGTTTGGAAACTTATAATGGTGCTGCGGGGGAGGAGAAGTAGTATGATGCCAGATGGAGTTCATATCATTTTTAATAGATCACAGTGGTTTCAATGAGCTCAGTCAGGGGTGTGTGGGCGTGATCCTTATAACAGTCCCGATATATCCTTTGGAGCGGTAGGAGGTTTAAAAGGTTTTCATCTAATTGCTGTCAGATCTTCTATATTTTGCAGTTCCATTCCGGGATTGTTCATTGCCCAATCTAATCGTGATACATCAGAGAAACTGTATGCATTTTAGCCTGGAGCTTCAAATTTGAAGCTTGTTGGTTTTAGCTTCACACCGGTAGTAGTTGTAGTTGGTGCAGATTTGCACTTAGCAAAATGGCAAATGGTTGAAAGTTTTACTGGCATCACAGACATTAAACCACAGGCCACAATTTAGGTACCATAAATTGCCTCTGTAAAGCATCCTCCTAATATAACATGTATTGTTTATGATTGTGATTGTTAATGTATTGTACCTTGTCTCCATTATTGTTTTGGCCTGTCCTTGGTGCTGAATTTGCTGTGATATTCCCTTTTGAAAAATTATCTATGCTGCCTCAAAGTGAGTGTAAGGCCATGTTGATTTGATTATATGGATGACATCCTCCGGGAGCCCCAAAACTGATGCGCGCGTGCGAATAAAAAAAAAGTTTTGCAAAAAAAAAAATTATTTCATTATGAAATCTACGTGGTCATGAGGGTTGAGCAAATGGCACAGAATATGGTTTGGCGAATAATCTAGTCTTCAAGTTCATTTCTTTACAATTTCGTCTTTTTTCGTTTGATTTTGGCATTCTACGACATTGGTATAGTTTTTATTAATTTTTTTTTGTAACTTATGGTATATTTTTGCTCATTTTGCATCTGTTTTGTACGATTTATACAGTATGGTTGAAAACTTTTTTTTTTTTGGAAACGGCCGAAAATTCATGCGCGCGCGGATGTCATCCATATAATCAAATCAGCATGGCCTAATGTACTGTAACATTTGCCAATAAACAGAAACCCATCCTAATACACTAAAGTAACTTAATATTACAGTTAGTGCGTTAAGATGATGCTTTAACAAAGGCAATTCCAATGTGCAGATTGCTTGACATTTGAACATAAATGAGTCGACATTTGGAGGCATGATAAAAGGAAGGAAGCTGCCTTACTTAAAAGAACTTTAAATAATCTACTCTATCTATTGATGTACTTTTATCTCCTACGTCTGTAGAGTGGATAAAAAATTTTCTAAAAACGTTTTTGATCGAGCGAGACTAGCATACAAAAGCAAACTCTGAGTGCAAAAACAAGACCTCCCTGTGAATTAGCAGCCTCCTCCATCTACCCCTGTGACTTGGAATGTCTGTCAGCTGTCAATTGAGGTTGATAAATGACGTATTCTACCAACTTCTGAACTCCACTCCTGTGACTCCTAGAACTCTGACCTGCTAATTGCTCTCCACTAGGAGTCCTGTCACTCTGTTGTATGGCAAGGCATGCCTAATATAATTTCAGCATACAGAATTAGAAACAAACGCTATGGAAAACATAACCTTTTTGGTAAAGGTTATAACTGTGGAAGTGCACTTCAGATAGGCACATTAAAAACAATAACGTTCAAGTCCATGTATACATAGGTAAAAATTTATTGATGCTTCGACATATATGTACATGTGTACCTTGCTATCTTTCACCTGTAGAACTGCCACAGTATGGAAGAGCACTAACCCATTCTGGGGAGAGGAGTACACCCTGTACCTGCCTCGCAGCTTCCACAGTCTGTCCGTGTATGTCTGCCACCATGACTCACTGGGGTAAGTTTGTCCTTGTCTCAAGGTCACACAACACCATTATCTTGCCAGTGCTCCTGTGAAGCCCCCTGATTGGTTACACTTTCCAAGCTATGCTCCGGTAATTTTCAACAGCCAATCAATAACTTGTTGCCACAGTCTTAGGAGCGGTTAAGAATCTATCATTCCCACCAGGCTTCAAAGACTTCTTTTCTGTCAATATCAATCTGGCATGACTTGAGTCAAAGCCAGCTTTGTGTTCACAGTTGGCCGATGATGTGTTATAAGCCATGATGGTATTAATGCATAGAGGGACAATAATCTTGAATTGGTTAGCACAGTGCATGCTTCATGTGTTCATAAGGGACTTGTTATTCTGAGTCTATCTAATAGAGACATTCGTCACCTTACAGAAAGTTAGCATAATTATTCATCAGCAGCCAGATGTGTGGTAGTTGATAAAGTGCTTCTGTTAAGCAGCCATGTGTGTACATTAAACCACTAACAGTAGGGGATATAACTGCACTTCACAGATATTGGGCAATCTATAGAAGCATGTTCCACTGTTTTCCCCCCATCTGCAGGGCAGATGCAGTCATTGGGAAAATGTTGCTGGCCCGTAAGGCCCTGTGTGCCGAGCCAAGAGGTGTGTTTTATGACATGCTATATGACTTTACTATATGTATGTTCAGTGGCAAATTGACTTAGTTTGTAATGTTTAAGTTTTCATAAACAGGTCAGTTTAGATAACATGGTTTTGTCTGAAACCTCTATTAACATTCATCTGTATATCTCCTTTCACACTCATCCACCAGGTTACATGTATCTGCCACTTAGAAAAACTGTGTGTTCGACAGGTCTCTCAGGTAATGTAGCACTCCTAGGTGTGCACAGTTCAAATATGCAGGAGTGCATTGTACTGTGAGACGTTGCATTGGGGATCTCTTTGGATGGATTTTTGAGGTTGACTGATATATATGACCTGGTGGAATCACAATAGTAGATGCCAAGCATTTGTGAACCTTCTGCATGTATTAGCGTAGCAAGTGTTGCTTCACATTTGTACAACATTGAGTGGTGTAAACTTTGAAATTCCATGACTGAGATAAGTGTCTCCCCCACACATCTACACACAAAAAGGTCTGGAGAAGTGGTTCCCCCTGCGGAAGGTGGACAAAGACTCGGAGGTGCAGGGGGAGTTACAGCTGGAGATGTGGTGCCATGGCAACAGGGGGTTCACGCCCGCAGCCGGAGATTTCACCACCATCTGTTGTGTGGTGGTGCAGGCAAGGTAAGGAAGAGGATGGAGAATACAATGTATGGATAATAAATTATGTACATTGTCTCACACTACTTGAACTGTTTCAACCAACAATCAAAGATCTTGTACCTATGTGAAATCTTTTAGTTTTTTGAGAATTTCTTGTTTAGTTTATTATATATAAATTTCTTGCATATTCTGTCTTTATGCATTTGCCCACTGGCTCCCATAAGGCAACCATGAGACATGCAATGTACTATTAGCAGAAAATTGAAGACAGGAAATGAGATGACTTTTGATGGTACCTTTCTAGGACCTTTGACCTAACTTCCTGTCAGTGCCTCCTATGTGCCTGGCATGTGACAATAAGTGTGGAAACACATAGACACACAAACTGAAACGTAACTGTAAAATGTAAAATATTACCAACCTTTTAAGTTTGTATACCAAGATAAAAACTAAACATCATGATAGCATGTTTGGATTTTCACACCAGCAAGGATACATGTCTGCCTATAACTTTCAACATTAACCTACTGCAATTTTTACATAAATAGCTTGAAAATCTAAGTGCTACTCTGGAATAAGGTTGTATACTAACTGTCCAAGTTTCAAATGCACCTTCTCTCAAATCTCAGTTGAACTTTTGCACATGTAGTTGACCATCATATTTGAGTGACGGGTCCAGGGCAAATGTAATCAACCATGACACTTGGTGAGTTAAGCTTGAAATGAATTGGCTGGGCTTCAAGCAATTAATAACCCGAACCAATAAACCCCAGCCAGGGAAGCGTCCTATGATGATAGTTGAGTAGGATTTGATTGAAAATAATGGCCTTGTAGTCATGGGAGATTTCAACTGGAGGAAATGAAGGGGGAAACACCAGAGGTGGGAGTTGGAGAGATGAAAAATCATCCGCGTGTCAAAGTGTTGGCAACGCATCAGAGACATCTCTCATTTCGTGCGTTTAATTTGTACTTTATATTCTGCGTAGGGACTTGGCAGTGAAGGAGAAAGCGGGCATTGTGGATGCGTTCGTCGAACTTTCCCTGCAGGAGGACAAGGCCAAAACACAAGTGAGTTGAAAGGATTTGGAGGCAATCCGGGGTGGATTTATAAGTGGTAATGCCTCCCGCGGCTATGCCTCAGGAAATAGCTGTTTGTACTTGAATGACCTTGTGGATTTAGATCTGATGGACTGAAGAGGCATTTGAAGATTACGATTCAAAGTCATATTGAATTATTCATGATGAAACTTTTATCTTTAAGTGTTCTCTTCTCCCATAACACTCAGCAGAGACAACTTGTTTAAAGTGCTGTGTTGATCCTTTATGCCACAAAGGAGGATTCACTTCAAAACTGCACCAGAACTTTGACTGGAACGATGACATTAAAGATTTTCTTGTCATTAGAATGTATGAAAAATGTCAGAGTTGATTTTTCCACTGGCATTCTTACTGGGCATCACCTGGCCATGATAGAAAAGCCAGTGACAGGTCATTACAAATTCCAATTCCGGCAAGACTGCTTCCGCAGATAACAGTCACGGTTTCAGCACCAAGGGCAGGGTCATTACCAGGCCAGTTTCAAAAAGAAACTGTTAGAACTTAGAAGTATTCAGGGTTAACTCCACATATTCAACTGCTAACATATGTACCTGTACCAAATCTTGTACCTGTAACAATATTTGATCTTACCAGGATTGAAGCTTGTTATAAGTACTCTAATAGATGAAAGAGGTAGTGATTTTGAGATAAGTCTAAGACTTCTGTCATGTTTTTATTTTGTACTTCGTATACTTCAAAGTAAAATATGAAACTGTAAGGAATTTCTTGCTGTTTCCCTTTCAACATTTCTTTCAATTTACTTCAAGGTCATAAAGAGGACAAGATTTCCCAAGTGGAAGGAGACATTTGATTTCACCATTCCCACCAAACTTGTGGAGTCAGCCACACTACAGTTCACAGTGTGGGACTGGGAGAAGCAGGGGAATCACGATTTCTTAGGACAAGTATGTAACCTCCATTAACATTCATCCACCGGTGTTACATGTATATCTGCCACTTTGAAAAACAGTGTGTTGTAAGATGTCTAGTGCCCCCCAGGTATGCACAGCCCAAATACTACAAATGCATTTACCTTCACGTAGGTTTTATTTCATGGTAGGAGGCAAAAGGAGGTTTTCACGAGGTTTACACAATTTTCCTTGCCACTGATGATCTGATGCCAATCATTGATTGGTCTTCCAAAGAAACGAGATGGAAAACATAGCTAATTTTTTATTCAGAATGAAACATAGTTTTTATACTCTGTAATGTTACTCTCTGCAGGATTTTTGCCCGGTGTGAGGATGACCTCTTTTCCCTAAAAACAAAGTAATGTGAAAATAGCTTTAAAGTACCTCCTGTCTGAGCTGCAAGGCTTTGAAGTACACCATATCAGATTTCTCTGAAATGTCAGCAGGAGAGACGCTCGTTAAAGGATTTGATCAGCCTCCCTACACAGCTCAGCTGGGATTGGCCCCTACAGGCAGTAGTTATGGTCTTTTGGAGGGAAAGGTCATAGGGGTAAAGCTACAGGGGGAAAGGTACAGATGGAAGTATGTTGGTAAAGCTGTAAGAGATGTGGCAACTAAATGCCCCAACCACGATGGTCAGATTTGGGCCCAAAAGTCCCACTCCGCTACTATGGAGATCGAATCCCCCGAACCCGCGAATCTTGTTCGATATGACGTCATTCGAATAGAGCGGGCGTTCGATCTGGGGTTAGCCGCGGTCATTTACAGTAAAGCCGCTACAACCGGCTACTTCAAGCCCTTTTTACTTGGGAACCACGGAACAGGAAAAATCCACCTTTCCACAAATATGAACCGTTTTCAAAACATTACATCTATGCCGTGATTTTATTGTGGATATGTAACATGTAACGAAGCTACTGTCGTCATCGTGGGTGACCTTGAAGGTCAGAATTCTTGTTGACGCTGTTATAAAATCCAGGTCCCCATATCCAAGTGGCACAGCATGCGTGCAAACATGGTATTTTAACCATTCCCTAAAATCGCTCAAATTACCTCATTGAGGGCTTGTTTGGAAGAGGAACGATTTCCGCAGATTTCTGTCTTAGGGATTTTTTAAATATGGCCGCGATTATGAATTATCGGTATTTAAAGTTAAAACACAGCGTTTTTAGCTCTTCTTTTGACTGTAAGTCGAGTTTTAGTTAAAAATCAAAAATCCTAAGACAGAAAGTTTAAATTTACTGTAATATTTCTAAAAATCCAAAAATCTAACCTTATTTTTAATTTTCGGGGCCTCTTAAAATCAGTTGTTTGGTTCTCGTGAACCCTTTTTGAAATCCGAAATTGATCTCATTTGAAAGCAAATGTACACAAAGTGGAGGAAAGGCAGTGCAAGAATAACATTTGAGGTAAACAAAATCACTTATTACATTTTATTTTGACGAGTATTTACTCTCCAATTACTTTTGTTTATTTTCAAATTTTACCCGTTGCCCCCGGGCCGGCCTGGGACTCC